GCGCTTCTGGAGGAGCCGTGCCCCGCGCCACCGCCCCGGAGGGAATGGAGGGCTGCCCCAGAGGTCCAAGTGCGGCCCACGACCCCACTCTGGCTAGCCGCCTCTAGCTGCTCAAATTGTGCATTTTATCCACCACCTCCTAGGCCTTGCCTCTTGATTCAGTGGCGTCGTGATTGGAAAGAAATGGAAGAAAAGGAGCGATGTGACCTATTACGATCGGTCCTGCGTTGAGGCCTGGTTGGTATTTGCAAAGAGGAAGACACAGCAAGGAAATCGTGTCTTTCTGAGGAGGGTGGGGAAAAAGCAACAAGGTCTTATATTTTATGTGATTTTTTAAAAAAACCCCAGCACTTTGACAGTGGTGGCGATATAAACTAATTCAAAAGTTATTTTTCTACTGAGAAGAGGGAATTTTTCTTTTTTGATCCCTACGTTTTCTCCCAGTGACAAAGCATAAATCATGGACAACAGAGAATAAGGTGGACCTCAGGAATCCTGAGAAGCTTCCACCTTCCTCAGGAGGGACGAGTGGGGTGTTTTCAGCCTTCTCTGGAACCTAAAATAAAAAAACATGAGTTGCATGCCATGGAAAGGAGACAAGGCCAAATCGGAATCCTTGGAGCTGCCCCAGGCAGCACCCCCACAAATCTACCATGAGAAACAGCGCAGGGAACTTTGTGCCCTACACGCCCTCAATAACGTCTTCCAGGACGGCAACGCCTTCACACGGGAAACGCTGCAAGAGATTTTCCAGAGGTATGGCGCACCTTCTGATGCCCACTTCTTGGTACTTCTGAGTTTATGTGGGTTGGGCAGTGTCTCAGGTTTGTACATCTTCGAACTTACAGGTATTAAGTAGATGAGGACAGCAGGTATGAGGGTTGTGGAAATGGGAATCACTTCAATTTATGGACCACCTACTGAGGTCTCAGTTGTGTTCTTTCATGAGATCTATTCAATAGCTTTGGAATCCATTCTGCATGCATGTTGTTTCTATTTTATGGATGAAGACAGCACTCGGCAAAATGCAGTAATGTGCCACAGTAGTATAACAAGCATTAGAGCCATGGTTGCTATCAGGCTTATCTGTCTGCTGTTGATGTTTGTGCTGTAACATTGCCCTCTGAAGTCCTGCCACCAAGTTTGCAATTTAGAAGGGGGCAAGATAATGTCCATGGACACGTGTCTCCAAAAGTTGGAGTGGAGTGTGGTAGGTACCACCAAAAAGGTGTACATGCACTACCCAGCTTTTCTGTGAAGCCACATGCTGGCCTTGGTGCTTTTTAAAACATTGTTTTGTGTGGCCACCTCTCCACGGTCATTTTACTGATAGGGAAACAGGCAGAAAGGTCAATTATTTGTCCAAGTAGCTTCTAAAAATCAAAACTGTGATTTGAAGCTGACTCCATGTCCCTCCCCACCTCCCTTTCTACTTTATTCTAGATGGCCTTTCTTATCTGCTTAAATACCACCCCACGAGTACATAGTTCAGCCTTTTGCTCTTTGCTGTGATTTTCAAGATTTCTTTTACCAGAAGGTCTGAGAATTCGTTCTGCAGTGTTTGGATGGACGCAGAGCATGTCTGCAGTCCATAGCACACTTGGCCATGAGTCTGTCTGATCACTCCAGCTAGAGAGGGTCAGACTTGCCCAGTCCTCAGGGCAGGGAAAGCTTGAGATGTTTTCAAGAAGAGCACACTGACACTTCCAAGGACTCTTTTTTCTCCCTTTATTTAGAGATGAAATTTCTGCAGCACAGGATCCTGAGTCATAGCCAAAATCAATCTAGTTGCATGATCTGTGAAGAATAGGTGTGGACCATTTTCCCTGGAAGAACCATAAGCTTTCTCTTAAATGAAAGTTAATTCAAGCATGCTGACAGAACTATAATGAGAGTAATTATTTTTTTAATGCCAGTAATAACTGAAGTGCTTTAGCCTTAGCAAAGCAGATGTGTCATTTGCATCATGCCCATTATCTGGCAACAAGAAGAGTGCCCTCTGTAGGAAATGGGGACCCTGGGAGGTAAGATAATGTGTCACAGATCACCAAATCATGTGATAGGACAACCCAGTCCCTTGAACTGCAGCTTTTTGGCCAGCCATTAATTTTTTTTCCTACTCCTTAAAATATTTGCAAATTATTTCCTAATCCAAACCTAAGAAAAAGGAAAGGATTCATAGTGAGTACTTGAGTGTATTTGGTACTTCACAATATGTATTGATGATTGTAGAACAACCTTAGGAAATGGGTCTTAGTTTGAGTCATTTGCAGTTTCACCCACTAGTGAATAAATGTCAGATACAAAAATTCTGTGTACAGTCACACTGAGGAGGAAATGTCTTCTGTAAATTTGGCCTCTGATCTGACAAGGAGAATAATTGTGAGATGATTAACAGAGAGCACTGTTGAGTTCTTCCCTTGTGCTGAGTTCTTACTTGACCATGGGGGTGGGATTGGGGAGGGTGGGGAGCAGGCTCTATTGTTTCCCTTTTTTCCAGATGAAGAAGTCGTGCCACAGAGGGTGCACAGAGCTGTTAATGGCAGGATTTAGACTCAAGTTTATGGCTGCAGGGCCTGTCTCCTTGCTGTAGACTGGAAGGACTTGTCTGAGCTGTTGTATCACCAGTAGCTGGTCATGCTGCTAATAGCTGCAGCCAGATCTAAAGATCTGGACTGTGATTATTGAATATTTGTGGATAATAGGAGTTTTCAGCTGCAGTTCCCTGAGTGAAAGATTGCTTAATATCTGGGAAACAGCCACATGGAACCAGGGACCTGTTCCTTTTAAAGCTTTTTGTTTTTTAAGACAGAATCTTGCTATGTAGTTCATACTGGCCTTGAATTCACTATGTAGCCCAAGCTGGCCTCAGATACAACAACAGTCCTCCTGCTTCAGCTTCCCAAGTATCCTTTTAAGATTGTACAAATTGTACTGCACTCTTCCATTCCCTCTCAGCACAGTATACACCTGAGAATAAAAATAAACTAGTACATAAAAGAGAATTCCAGAAGTAAAAGTCTAGATAGAGCATTTTGTATGGAAAGCTTTGGTATGTGTGGAAGAATACAGAGGAAAAAGCAAAGGGAGAAAAGGTGAGGGAAAGAAGATGGAATTTTTAAAGCAAACATTAAAGGGCTGCTTGCAGTGTGCCAGGCACCACAAGGCACTGTAGAGAAAACGAGTTGAACAGGGCATCTTGGAGTTGTACTCTGAGCAGGCCTTAGAAAAGATTTAAGTGAAGAGAGAAGCGTGGAATTCAGAGCCATTTAGAAATGAAAAAGGGGATCTCTTCAGATTGTGCTGGGAAGAAAAGTAAAGCTGTCAAGTATAAGAGCTAGATAACTTTTAAGTTCTCAGACATAACTGCTGTTTTGAAGAGCTGTAGAAGTTGGAAGAAAATGTTGATAAGTGCTATTTTGTTGAGAGGAAGTTCGTCTTAGCAATTGAGTTTTAGCCAGCTAGAAGAGGAGAAGAAATACAAAAGCAGGGTGGAGTTTCAGTAGAATCATGGATATGAGATGACTCACACTTAGAGTAGAAATGAGTAGGAACTTAGAACTGAGCCTATCACTGGCCAGCAGGAAGGGACAAGGAAGAGAGAGAAGTTGGTTGTGACCAAGTCTTGATCCAAGATGAAAGCTCAGAGCACATGTGTATGTAGATACACTGCAGATGGCTTGCCATGTATGTGTCTAAGCTGGAAATCAAATGATACCATAGCAGCTTGGCTAGGTGGTTTTGAAAATACTCAGGTCTCAAACATTTTGCAGGACCCATCCCAGTTTTTCAGTGATCAGACTTTTTTGCAGCTGGCTGTGCATTCTTCTCCCAAATAGACTATATCTGTTACAATCTAATTAGATGAAAACCAGCTTGGTTTAGGGGAGGGGGAGCTAATGACAATTGGAAAGAGCAAAGAAATTAAGGATATTGTTGTACCTTAAAGGGCAGGTACTCCAGTTTCTCCATTAAAGGTCTGTGAGCAGGTAGAAGAGACACATTTAAATGTGTGGTAGTAATAAATTGAGAAAAGGATTTGAAAGTTTGTCTAAGAGCCAGGAAAACATAATAATAGCTAACCTAGAGTACTTAGAGGGTTGGCTTTTTAATGTGTGCTTTAGAAACGCCTGAATGCCAGGTGTAGTGGTCCATGCTTGTAATCCCAGCTACTCAGGAAGCAACAGGATTGCAATTTCGAGGCTAATCAGGCAATTCAGTGAGACCTTGTCTCCAAAAGAAGAAGGCTGGGATGTAGCTCAGTGGTAGGGCACTTGCCTAGCATATATGAGACCATGGGTTCAATGCCCAGTACTGAGGAAAAAAAAAAAATCAGGAAATTTTGAGCCATTTCTTCCTCCTTCCCTTTTTCCCTTCCCCCCTCCCCTTTGGTTTTGCAGTGCCTGGGATTGAATTCTGGGCCTTTGCACTGAGCTATATCCCCAGCCCTATTTTTTAATTTTTATTTTGAGGCACCATTTTTGCTCACTTGCCTGGGTTGGACTCAAACTTGCATTCCTTTTCCTTTAGGTTCCCAGTGTTGAACCATATTTTCTAATGTCATGTCTCTCAGACCTGATAAGAAGAAACTCAGGGAGAAAATTAACCTTAATGAAATGCCTCCCATCTCATAAAAATTCATGATCATCATAGTCAGATGCACCAGTGATCAGGAAAGAGTTCCAAGGACTTAGCAAGGGTGTGGACATCAGTGGAGACCTGGACTAGAGCCCATTGCAGATCACTTCGGTTCTTCTGGCTCTACCCTATGTGATGACAGACATGACAGGCTTGCTTTAGAAAGCAAAGTTTGTATGGAAATCAGTAAGACCATCTTAAACAGGCATTTGCCGAAACACATTTCCATGGGAAGGAGAATAGGATCTCGTAGAATTCACTGGAACCAGAAGACTGGTCAGTATTTTCCTGTGTTAGAGGTTAAATCCTAGCTCTGCTATTAACTGTGCATGACCATGCAAGTCTCAGTAACCTTTGGACTTCAGCTTCCTTATTTACAGAATATCAAGATTGTTGGGGGATTAGTGACTAAGTCCATGGAAGCATCTAACAGTGAGCATCTGATTATTAGTAAAATAAAATCAAGGACTTGTGCACCTGGGGGACCCCCCTACTCAAAAGACCATCCTCTAGGCTGGGTTGGAAACTTCTTGACATTCCATATCTTGAGGGGTTTAGACAATGTATTTCATCAGGTGCCAATGCCTAACCAAGGGTTACAGAGTGAAAGCACTTCAGGGACCTGTTTGGTTGTACATGGATAAAATGAATTCAGCAGTCCTATAAAGTAGGAATCATTCCAATTTATATGGATCATTCACAGCAATTGTCTGGATGGTCAGGTAGGTTTGGGAACTGAAGCATATTGTGTAACAGGCTTGGAGATTAACTTTTTTTTTTTTGAGTTGGAGTCTGTCCATGTTGCCCGGCCCATATAGCTGTTGCTGGGATTTAAGGCATGCACCACCACACCCAGTTTAGCCTTAGAGATTAAATTTCACAGTGCAGATGGCACCTGGATGTGAATTTAGATAAATATTATTTCTCCCAGTCTCCCTCCTTTTTCACAGAGGAGCCAGGAAGGATTACATGGGAGAGATGAATGTGAGGTTGAGGTTAAGGAAGCTGTAGGATTTGGCTTGGAACCAGACAGAGGATAAAAGAGCAGAGGCCACGTGGTGACAGTGCCTGAAGGGCACTAAGCCCCATGAGAGCAGAACATAGACCCTGTAGGGCTGGGGGTTTGGGGTTGGCCGAGCTGGCAGGTGGTGCAACTGTCAGTTCTTATGTAAGGGAGTAAAGTGACACGTTGATGACTGCGGCAAGATTGAGAAAAGTTGGGGGAAGAAGAGTTTGGAAGCAAAGAGATTAGTGTAAGAACCTGTTTCAGAAGTCTAGGTATGGGACTCAAGAGGCCTCCAGTTAGGACAGAGGTAGTGGGAATAGACAAGAAAGGATTTTAATCTGAGATGGAAAGTGAAGGCCAAGGAAGACGACAGATCCGTGGAACACCAGTCCCAGAAGGTAAACTAAAGAAGAAATGCCTGGGTGGTCAAATATGTTTGGGAACTGAAGCATGTTATGTAACTCCCTTTCCTGGAGACAACAGGTGAAGATCAGCAGAGTAGGGACTCCCAGAGTTCCTGCAGGAAACCTTTTTTGCTTGCTTGGTTCATTCAGTTGTTATGCTATTGGAATATTGGGTGCCTTCCTGTTTCTCTGATACTAAGCCCAGAACTAGAATCACTGAGAATGTGCAGCTCTACTTTAAGATGCACATCTGCAGGGAGGTAGGTGGTGAGAGATAGAAGACTCAGAGTTGTTCCTGTTGGAATCTTCTTCCTGGTACTGGTCAGGGACATCATGGGAAGGAATTAGATGGTACTGCAAAGTGCATGGGGGAAAGGAGCCTGTGAAATCTTGAGATTGGCCTTCTTTTCCAGAGCTTTCTCAGGAGTGTCTTAGGACACCAGGGAAAACCTTTGTCCTTTTAAGCAGTGTTTCTGCCCCAGGCCTTAGGGATTCAATGACTTTTCCTCTTAGCACCCCCCCCCATCACTAATACTTAGAAAGGAAGAGATAGAATACCAAAAGTAAACAGTATTTCAAGAAAGTCTTTGAGTATCTGGTGTGTGCCTGGCACTCTAGGCTCTGGTAGACATATTAATTGATCAGTTAAGGATGTGGGTGTCACTCTTCAGCAGAAAGCCAGCACAGGAGGAAATGTGTCTGGTGTGACAAAGGGCTGTAATAAAACCAAAGCAGATGGGCAGTGAAGAAGCAGAAGAGGAAGTGACTGGGAGAAACTTCAGGTTGGGTGGTCAGAAAAGGCTTCTCTGTGGCAGTAACATTTGAGACCCAAATAGTAAGGTGCAAAACTCTCAGGGAGGAACCTTTCCAGGAATGAAGAGCATGTGAGAACAAGGCTTATGTATCCCAGGAACAGGAAAAAGATCATGTGTAAGAAGAAAGAGGAGAGGTCAGCAGATGAAGGTGCTTAGATTGTATGTACCTATACATTTTTAGTAGTTAATTTGTTTTTGGTTTTCTGTGTTGGGGTCTCACTAGGTGGTCCAGGCTGGCCTTGAACTTGCCATTCTCTGCTTCAGCCTCCACAGGGCTGGGATTAGAGGCATCCACCACCATTCCTGGCTAGATTGTAGTTAAATTCTCTGTGTATGATTGGAGGGTTTTAAGCAGTGGCAGGAGTATGTTTTATGTACGTATGTTTTTAAATATCAGTATGAGTATAGGGATGTAGTTCATTTGTAGAATACTACACATCTAGCATGTGCAGAGGTCCTGGGTTGGATCCCCAGCACAGGAAAAGAAAAAAAAAAAGTATGGAGAATTAAAAAACATGATGTTTTTAAGAATTGATTTGCTTCAAAAGGGCTGAGGATATAGCTCAGTGGCGCCACACCTGCCTGATGTGCTTCAAGTGTGAGTTCCTCAAGTCTGAGATGGCATGTCATGGCCTTCTGGGCACCTGCCACCCACTTCTGTCCTGAGGAACTTGGCACCTTTTCCTTTGTCTTCTTCACAGAAAGGTCAAGGGCGTTCTGAGCCTCCCTTCAGTAGGCTTTCTTCACCTGTCCTGGCAGATCTCTGAAATCAAAATAATAGGATTGGAAATGCCTTCAGCACTGGCTTTGTCTTGAAATGGACTTGCTTGAGTCCAGACAAAAAGTGACTGGAAGCAGGGTGGGTCAGCCAGCACTATAGGTGAGTTTTGTCTGGCACAGAATTCTTCTCATTTAGCTGGATATGCTGTACTCTATAATCCAGCTACTTGAGAGGCTAAGGTAGGAGGACCACAAGTTCCAGATCAGCTTGGGCAACTTAGCAAGGCCTTGTCTCAAAACAAAAAAGGCCTGGGGGTATAGTTCAGTTGTAGAGTGCTTGCCCAGCTATTGGTCTACATACATACATACATACATACATACATACATACACACACACACACACACACACACACACACACACACACACAGTTTTTCAATTGATTCTTTGTGTTTTAATTTATTTTTTTTTAAGCACTACACACATTTGGAGTGCTTTCAGGTGTATCATATGTTTCAGATTAACATGGGTCTTACTAATTTTTAGTGCCTTACATCTGGCCCCAGTTCATGCATTTGTTACCTGACTGGGCTTCCGTATGCTTTTGAGTATTTCATGATTACCAGTGTGCAAGTTTTAAATAGAAAGCACTTAAACTGTAAAAACCAAATCAAAACAGCAGTAACCAGGTACTGTGTGCGCAAGTGCAAATATCACATAGTACTTACCATTGTTTAAGAAAAGCCTTGCATCAAGGCAGGATCGGCAATAGGAAGACTGCAGAGAGGCTGCAACAGGCTGGGGTTTTGTGAATGAGACTCCTTCATGGACATTTTTTGTGTTCATTGACTTAATTGTAGAAACACTTTTTGAATGGCAGGCAGCTAGATCCCACCCCTTCTGAACCTGTTTTGTGTGGAGAGGGGAGCTCTAGGGAGGCAGGAGCCTAAGGCCAGCATACTTAGGTAAACCTAGAGAAACTAGCTTCCATTGCAGTGATATAAAATGCTTTTTTGGGTGGCGGGGGTGGTTCAGCAGACCAGCATGTCTCAGCCTTCCTTTTTTTGAATTGTAGGTTGTCTCCAAACACCATGGTGACACCACACAAGAAAAGCATGCTGGGAAATGGGAACTATGATGTGAACGTCATTATGGCAGCACTTCAGACCAAAGGCTATGAAGCTGTTTGGTGGGATAAGCGCAGGTAAGATGAACCAGGCCTGACTCGATGGAGAACAGCAGGTCATGGTGCAGGCCCAGGTCTGGGACTTCTGATGGGAACGGGGAGGTGGCCAGTTGTGGTGGTAAGAGCGGCCTTGGAGGGGGTCCAAGGTGGGCCATCTCAGAGCCTAAGGCCATATCTGTTTCACAGGGATGTCGGTGTCATTGCTCTCACTAATGTCATGGGCTTCATCATGAATCTGCCCTCCAGCCTGTGCTGGGGACCACTCAAGCTGCCTCTCAAAAGGCAGCACTGGATCTGTGTCCGAGAGGTAGGAGGCACCTACTACAACCTCGACTCCAAACTCAAGATGCCTGAATGGATTGGAGGCGAGAGTGAGCTCAGGTAATCTCCACTGTGGCTAAAGCTGCTGGGCTCTCCTGTTTGGTTTATCAGGGAAGTTGAGCTCACCTGTGGTTATTTGACAGATGAAATGAATGAAATTCCTATGTATTGGGATTCCCTTCCTGCCTTACTTGGAATCACAGGGTCTCAGACCTGAAAGACGATTTTCAGGGAGGTGGGGGTTGAGACAGGATCTTGCTATGTAGTGCAGACTGGCCTTGAACTCACAGGGCTCCTCCTCTCTCAGACTCCCAAGTGCTGAGGTTGCAGGAATGTGCCACTATGACCTGAAAGTCCTTAATCAGGACTTCTTCAGGACAAGTACCACAGTCTGGGATCCTGGTCTTTTAGGGGCTGGCATTATAACATTCTCTCCATTGAGATAACTGAGTCATTTCATTGATGTTCATTGATGTTGAGAAAGGAAGGTGAACACTAACCAGAAAGGATCTAAAGTTTTGTTTGTTCTTGGATTTTTTTTTTTTCCAGTATTGCAGATTGAACTCAAAGCTTACAAGGTAGGCGTGGTGCCACTGAGCTCAATCTGTGACCCACTAAAGTTGTTTTCTCAGACAAGTAGAATCCCTTTATTTTCCCTTCTTTTCCTCATAGATCCAGCTACCGTCAGCAGTGATATATGAGTGTTAAGAATATTCAGGTTGGAATTCTACCTGGACAGTTGAGGGTGGCCTCCACAAATAGTCCACCACTAGAATGTTTAAAGATTGCCAAAGTATAAATGATGAGGTTTTGCTGAATGAGTGGCCCTGAGGTTGGAATTCAGTTCACCAGGATTTTATTTTCTCTCACCTATCCCTTCTTTGTAGGAAATTTCTAAAACATCATTTGCGAGGAAAGAACTGTGAACTCCTGCTGGTAGTACCAGAAGAGGTGGAAGCCCATCAGAGCTGGAGGGCTGATGTGTAACAGTTCTGCCCCAAGCTGCTCCCTGCCCCACCCTCCAGGCCTCTGTGATGTGCTGTGGCCTGTGCAGTGGGTCTGTCCTGGCCACTTTCCCACACATCTCATTGGGTTTCTCCTTCTGATCTGCCAGTGCAGTAGGACAGGTGTGTGGACTGTCACAAGAACCACCTGCTGTCTGTGCCTGGGAAAAGAAGGGAAGGGCCCAAGCACTGAAGGCCAGCTGTCAGGAAGGCAAGGTGGGTCCCAGCTGTTTGTCCCTTTCTCTGAGGACCTGAGAGGTTCTGCTGGAATCATCACTGCTGCTCCAGGCTCACCAGAGATGCTGCCCCCACTTTTCTCTGCCATGGCACCAGTGGGTCTGAAGACACAGTACTGGCAAAACCCAGCGACTGCCTCCCAAGGACCCAGAGCATAAGTGTCTCTCAGGAAATTGTCTCCCGGACCCCAGCAGTGGTACCGTATGCTGGGCCATCTGCAGCCCTTAACGCCACCCCACCCCACTTTTACATGTGGTTTATGGCCAGCCTTGAGCTTTATAATGAGAAGTTCTCGAATATTCCAAGCCAGATGGCTAAATCCCACAATCTCCTAGCAAGACAAGGGCGAATACATAGCTAAGAGGATGTGGCTAAAGCCAAACTGGGACAGGTGTGGGGTGATTTTCTTTACTCCACTGTTGTCCCTACCATTTCACTACATTGATTTAGGAGGCTCTGAGGCAAAAGTCAAGGAAAATGAGCAGTTTTTATACTTTGCCCACTCTGGCAAAATCAGAAAATGATGTCTATCCTTGATAGCAAATTCCACTAACTTGGAACATAAGTGGGTGAGGGAAGTAATGTGAACATATATGTCTCAGAGTTTAAGAGCAGACAGAATTAGCAGAAGTCCTAGGCTCCGAGGCTGACAAGTGGCAGAGCCCTCTAGTTGGGTGGTTCTGTGCATTGTTACAGGACCTGGGTTTGTCATCTCCATGTAGTTTCCTTTATCAATCACCGGACTGACCCACCCCCTACCTCTTGAAATAGCTGTAGGCCATGTTTCTCCTATAACTTTGGGAAGAAAGAGAGGAAGTAAGTTATACCACGTGTGTCACCAAAGTGGCTGTGGTTGCCTTGGGACAGGTGGGCAGGTAGGGGTGACCCATCCAGCCCTTCTCAATCCATGGTCTCAGCAGATTGGAGGGCTGCCCCACTGGCCAGACTTCTCCAGCAGCAGAGCCAGCCTGGGGCTTGCATGTCAATCTTCAGCAAGCTTCACAGGGGAAGCCGAAGTTTGCTTCCCACTGTGACTGGAGTGCATGTTTACACCAGCACTTTTTCTGCACATGTATCTTCAATCCAACAAGGTTGTTTTTATGCTGAATAACAAGAGGCCCCAAGTGGCAACTGCATTATGCCCCCTCAGCAATTGGCCGTGGTCTCTTCTGCACCATTTTCTACACCAGACCTGCTTGCCACCACAGGGAGCTCTTTCCCCCTGCACAATGACATTCCAACCACACCAGCCAGGAAGTTATAGCCAACCTTGCTGACTGTCAAAGCAGGACCGTGGGTCCATTGGCACTGTTGGTATTAGTAAGCCATTTCCTGAGAGGAGGAAACTCCTCTCCACAAATCTGCTTGGGCCTGTGCAAATGGCACTTCAGAGTCCCGTGTACAAGGAGTCCATGAGCCAATGGAATATGCAAAGACGCTTCAACATTTCAGGGCTGGTTTCTCTGTTCATATACAATTCTGGTGCTTAGGAATGGGGGACCCATGCTGATGCCCAAGGGCAGAAAGCCCACTCCTCTAAGGAAAGGGAGCAGGCCTGACCCTGATGCCCAGTAAGGGGCAACCCTAGGCTTTGTTTTTCTTGCTTTTGTTCCTTTTTGTTGTTGGCCTTGTGCTGGGTTTGTTTACAAAAGATGTATTTTGTTTAACCAAATATTAAAAATGGAAAACTCCATACGTTAATCTTGTCTGCCTGAATTCTATAATTATGTAAGGAAAAAAAAATAATACGATGTTTTAAAAGGAATTCATTACTATCATGTCACCATTTAGTTACATTAAGTTGTGAACAAACATTTTACCTGAAAAATTCAGACAAAATATTTTAAGTGGGACTTGATTCAGTCTTTTGTTTTTGCAGGACCAGGGATCAAACTTGGGACCTTAGGCTTGTGAGGCAGGTGGTAGCACTACTGAGCTAAATCCCCGGCAGAAGGTGCCCAAAGCTATTTTTCTTCCAAGACAGTCTCACGAGGTAGTCAGGCTGGCATCAAGCTCTTGAAGCTTCTGCTCCAGCTTCCTCTGCCAGAACTACAGTCATGTGCTGCCACCATCCCCATCCCCAAGGTGTTTTGCAATTTTCCTTAATTTAAAAAATTAAGGCTTGGCAATTTGAAGAAGTCACGAGGTAGGCACAAGTTTATACCAGCTGACTGGGGATCATTGTCCTTAAGTTAAATGGTGAAAGCTCATGCACTGGACCTGGGCTGTCTGCATCCAGAGTGCACTGCAGGCAGGGCCTATACTTCGAAGGCTGAATTCAGGTCCAGCTCTTACTTCAAGACTAGGTACATTACCTAACCTTTCAAAAGGATACTACCACCTCTTAAATTGCGTAGTATTCTGATAATTACATACAAGGCAAAGTATGATGCTTATTAAAGACAGAAAATGGAAAACATACAAAGTTCAAAGGGCTGCAACTGGTTTCATCAGTGGTTCATCTCAGTAATAAATTTTTTTTTTGGTACCAGGGATCGAGCTTGGGCCTTTGTGCTTACAAGGCAAGTGGCAAAACCACTGAGCTAAATCCCCAGCCCCTCAACAATAATTTTTTAAAAACTAGGTCACAAAAAGGTTCTGTTTAGTGCTGGGGATTTAACTCAGTGGCACCTCACTTGCCTGGTCCTGAGTTCAGTCCCAGTACTAGAAAAAAAAAGTTCTGTTTGCATATTAGTCCCATCAGGGAGACTAGAAATCAGTACTATAAGATGTTACTGAAGACTACAAGTACGCAGAGCTGATCCTTTGGTTTAGTTTTGTGGATCTGAAAGTGATTACTTCAATCAGGGCAAAGGCTGCTAGTAAGAGGATGGTAGCCAAAAATGAAATCTCTTTTTCATTTCTGGGAACTCAGAATTAGGCCTACGAGATAGATCAGTGGAGACGGAGATGCTGGCTTAGGAAATCTGAGGTAGTGTGTTTCTGTCCTCAAATGATCCTAAGTAATTCTGAGGTATCTAGTCACAAGCACATGGATAACACTTTTGAGTTGGAATAATTTTTAGTATTTATTTATTTTTTGGGGGAGTACTGGGGATCAAACTCAGGACCTGGTGCTTGCGAGGCAGGCAATGGAACCACTGAGCTAAATCCCCGGCCCCAATTTTTAATATTTAAATACAAAAAGTGAGCACTGACCTTTCTTACACACAGGCCTGACAGCCAAAGTGTGCAAAGGAAATGAGCCTCTGCTCTGTCCCCCACAGCCCTCATCATCCTCATCTTGGGGCTGAAGCTGCAACAAGCCTCCCTCTCCAACATACACGAGGATTTCTGGTGCTTTACACTACAGCTGTACTGTACTGTGTCAGTTTTATAATGTGTGCACATCCCTCCCCAACATCACCATTTTTTGGGAAACAAAACAAAACAATACCAGTCACTGATGGTTGGGTGTCCGTCCCATCAGTTTCTACCCCATCAAGATAGGTAGGAGCAGTTTACTAAAAGGAGTTCGGTGGCCAGAGCTGAAGTAACCGTCTGCGTAGCTGCACTCTGATATCAGCGAGGAGAGGGCAGTGAGGACAGCGTGGAGGGCACAGCTGCAGGTTGGGAGTCTCCATAAAACAACAAAGGGAGAGTTCTCCCTTCCAGGTTTACATCAATGTGCCAAAGTTAAAAAAAAATACAAATAATCAGCAGTTCAAACACAACTGAGTTTGAACTTCTCCCACCAAGACAGCTCAAACGTTATCAGCTAGCAATCTAGATCTTTCCAGGAAGCGAAGGTAAAGCCCCTGGCATTCCTCCTGAAAGCCCTGTGTTAGGCCCTAGAAGTATCTGGAAAAGAAAAAAAGAAGAGGAGTAAGGCACTAGACAGGCCTAGGGTTGTCACTTTGACCATAACTGATGGGGCAGACAAACACTGCTGAGCATGAGCCCAATCCCAAACCCCCACCCACCACGTTAAATGCCAGTCTACCCAGGTGCTGGAGAAATAACGAGTCTCCCACTGGCAAAAACCCAGAGTCCAGGCTCACCTGCCGCTGCTGCAGCTGCTGCTGTTGCTCCATTTGCAACTTCTCAGTCTCAAAGACAACAGGAAGAACCAGGATCATAAAGGAAGTGGTCCCGATCCACAAGGCTGCCCTGGAAAACCTGGAGAGGGAGGGTGACATGGAGAGATGCAAAGAAAAACAGACAGCCTGGCCAAGAATGAAACAATAAGCGAACTCTGCCCTCGTATACCAGTGTTTTTTTTCCACACCAGTTTTCGAAGTGTATCCTACTCCCTCTTTGCACCACATTCCTACAAGAGACAGAAGCAGCAGTTCTGGGAGCTGTGTTGTCTAGTGACAGCAGCTAACATTCTCCTGAGCTCCTATGAAGCTGCTCTGACATCAACAACCTGCAACGATCCCCATAACGACCTTGCCAAGTAAGAATCCCCACTTTATAGAAAAAGAAATTGAGACCAAAAAAGGTTAGGGAGCCATGAGTCCAAGGTCACCCGAACCCAAGTCTGCTGTTTCCAAAGCCCATGTTCTTTCACAGCACTAGTCACCCCGTGCACACCCCCAATGTCTTTGTCCCCACCACTTACCTGTACATTTTCTGAGCCACAAAGAGGGAGAGATCGAAAGTGGCTCCGGCCGCTGACCGGACCCTCTCGGGGAACATCTCGGTCAAACCCCAGAGTCTCTCTGACAGGGTCTCGTCTAGCTGTGGGAGAGGAGGCGCGGGTCTTGGCCACAGCAACGGGAGGTACTCCCAGCCCTGCCGCGACTCCAGGAGACGCCGAACCCCGGAGCTAAGGAGCCTCGGGGCCCGGCTGGGTCCCTAATCCCGCCTCCCGGAGAAGCCGCCTCCGTCCGATCTGCAGCACGCGGAGCCCACACCCCCAGGCCGGCCTGCTCCCAGCCCGGCGCCCCGCGGGGCCCCAGTACCTCGTCGTCGTCGTCTTCTTCCAGCTCTTCCTCAGTCTTCTCCGCGTCGCCTTTCAGGACTAACTCGTCCGGGGACATGGGCTCCCCGGCACCGACGGCAGCGGATGCGGCGGCCATGGTTGCAAGGGGACACCGGACGCGGAAGGGAGCGACCGAGCGCGCGCAGCGGCGGACAGAGCGCCCTTCCGGCGGCGAGAGGCGCGGGCCGGGAAAGAGTGGCGCCCTCTAGCCATCGGGTCCTCCAGCTCCATTAGGTCGTTCCGCCCCAGGATTGTGGTTCTGACTTCAGCAGGATGAAAAACGGCTGGAAACGTGCTAAACAGAGCACTCCTGGGTGTTTCCGCAGTATTTCTGGGCAGTGAGTTTGCGGTGGGTTAGGGTTAGACTAAAAATCTAGGTTTTAATAAGCCTTCCTGGGATCACACCTTGAGAAACATCAATCCAGTTTTATTTTCCTGAGGGATATGGCAGTTGGTAGGAATAAGTTAGCAGTTCACTGGTTTAGGGTCTCTGGGAAAGCAGCAACAGGCTCAAGGTGTCAGTGTAACAGGGACAGGGACCTAAAAGCTGGGCCTTTAAAAGATGCCCAGTGGGTAACTAAGAGCAGGGTGAAGCTTGGCATCTCTCTTTCAGATTCCTTCATTTAGTACTTGAATACTTTGGGTCAGATCCCTGCTCTGAACACAAGCCTGTTAATAACTTAAGAAGAGTCTGTGGTACAAGTTTGGCCCTAAATCTAGCTAGTCTAAACTGCCCTCCTGCAAGACTGAGGACACCAAGATAAGAGTAACTAATTTTCAGGATTTCCAGGAACATCCAACAATAAGATCTGTCAACATCTAGTTCCAGACCTGCTGAGGTGACGCCTAGAAATCTCTGGTCATTGTCCTAAACCAGCAGTCACCTCGGATTCCAGAAAAGGTTGGAAAAGCACAGCCTCAAAGATTCCACCCCATCAAGTTTCCCCCACGCCCAGCAGGTGCCATTAACATGACAGGAAATGAGGCTGCCCCCAAATCAGGAGCTGCCACTCATGGTGGGAACCTAAATGCCCCACAAGTGATGAAAGCCAAACCAGGCCCAAGGTACCAATCACGAAATCCGACCAGGATCACCTACAGTGCTGGCTGTACACTCCCAGCTATGCAAACCCCAGCCCTTGCCTTCTCTCCCCTTTTCTACAAAGCCCCAGGGCTTGAAGCTCTTTATCTGTGATTCCTAGCTTGGCCCAGGTGATTAAAGCTTATTCCCTACCCTTCAGCACCCAAGTCGTGGGATAGGTGGCTGAGCCTCACTGCTGGGACCCCTGGAGCACAAGCTTTTGCCCTAAAACTCTGGTGGCAACAAAAGCAAAACAAGGGTAAGAGCCCTGAAGGATGCGGTGTACTATTTTTTTTTCTTTTTTTGAGAGGATTTTGCTAAATTGTCCCAGATGGCTTGACACCTGTGATCAATCTCAAACTGGCCTCAGCCTCCCGAGCAGGATTACAGTTTTGTTGCTGTTTTTGTTGTTTATTTGGTTTGGCTTGATTTGGCTTTGTTTTTGATTTTTTTAAATAGGGTCTCAACTGTGCGCCCTAAACTGGCCTCAAACTCACTATGTAACTTCAGCCTCAGCTTCCTGATTATCCCTAGTTTAGAAACAGCTGGGAGTGGTGGTGCAGACCCATAATCTCAGCACTTGGGAGGTGAGACAGGAGGATCACCATATGAGGATATCCTGGGTTACACAGTGAGTTCAAGTCCAGCCTGAGATATATAGTGAGATCCTGTCTAAAGAAAAGAAAATGTGAAAATTGAGGCACAGTTTAGGGTCACTGAAGGTATTTCTAGAGGACAGATTTCTAGAAGTATGCTTGCTGGCCAGAAAGTATGCACGTTTAAAATTCTGCTAGGAGGTTGGGTGTGTAGCTAAGTGGTTCACTGCTTCCCTAGCACGTTTGAGGCCCTGGGTATGATCCCATCACCTCAAAACCAAACCAGACTAAAGTTTGCTACATATTAGCTAATTGTCTCCAGAAAAATTATAGCATATCCCCACCACCACTGGGAATTAAACCCAGGACGTCATACTTGCTATAGGTGCACCACCAACAGGCGCGGCACCACTGAGCTACATCCCCAGCCCTAGCATATACATTTTCAGTAGTAAATGAAAGTGTCCTTTCCCCTAGGCCCTCCTCATCATTAGGTATTAATCCACATTAAAAAAATTTTTTTGAGAGAGGATCTTAGTACATAGCTCAGGCTAGCCTGGAACTCACAGTGATATTCCTGCCTCAGCCACCTGAGTGCTGGGATTATAGGCGTGTCTGGCCATATTTTAATTTTTTCAACCATACATTGAATGTAAATGTTTCTTTTTTGTTCAGTTTTTGTTATTGTTGTACATACTTTTTACAAGTGCTCCCAGAAGCTATTAATTAAAAGGTTTTTTTTGTTTGTTTGTTTTTGAGACAGGGTCTCACTATGTAGTTGAGACTGACTTGGAACTCACTGTGTAGCCCAGGCTGGTCTTGAACTCACAGCAATCCTCCTGCTTCAGCCTCCCGAGTGCTGGGATTACAGGCATGTGCCACCACGTCCGGCTTTAAAAGGTAATTTGATAAATACCTGTTAGCTAACAGAATGAGGCCTGGGCAGTCCAAATCCTTATCTTATTCATAGGTCCTATCATTACATACTGCAGCAGGGCTTGGGCTGGCAGGTCCCCGGATACAGTGCACAGGCCTTCAGTCTTTGGACAGGGCAGCTGTGAGTGTAGGACTTTCAAGTCACAATGGTGAGAGGTCAGGACCATGATTCCTTTTGAGGAAGAAGGGTAATATATTTGGAAAGGTGCAGTACTGTAGTTTCTGGGGTGCTGGTGTTCTTGACTCACGTGAGTATAGGATATTAATTTGGGGTAAACCATCAAGCTGTATACTTATGATTTATGCTCATATTTCTGTGTTAAGTTATTACTTAAAAATTTTGTTTCTGATTCAGGGTTTCACTATGTAGTTCAGGCTGGCCTTGAACTCACTATGATCCTCCTGCCTCAACCTCTTGGAGTACTGGGATTACAGGCATGTGCCACCGTACCCAGCACCTTTTTTTAAAATTTTGAGACAGGGTTCTCACTAAGTCTGTAAGTAGCTAAGGCTGGGCTTGAATTTGGAATCCTTCTGCCTTAGCTTCCCAGAGCCCTGGAATTATAGGCAGTTTAAAAAGTAAACTAGCTCTATATAAATTTGAGGGCAGATTAAGAATTCAGTGTTAGCTCAGTGGTTCCACTGCCTACCTCCTCGCAAGCACAAGGTCCCAAGTTCAATCCCCAGTACCAAAAAATAAAAATTAAAAAAAGTTCAGTGTCCCTGGCTTTTTAGTTCTTTTAAGAATGTTAGGGGCAGGGGATGTAACTCAATGCACTTGACTAATAAGTGTGAAGCCCTGGGTTTAATCCCCCACACTGAAAAAAAAAAAAAAAAAA